CTACCCCACAGTGATGGCCCTTCTGAGTTGTTGTCTATTAAAGTGCAGTCACTGACTACAGAGGACGCATTAATTGGATGAGGTAGATTTCTTTTAGTAAAAAACAATTCCCATTATATGTTTATCCATTATAATTCACAAACATATATTTGCTTCCTTTTTTTTTTGTGCCGGGACTGGGGCTTGAACTGTGACTTGGACACTCTCCCTGAGCTCTTTTTGCTCAAGACTAATACTCTAACACTTGAGGCACAGCTCACCACTTTTTGTGGCTAATTGGAGATAAGAGTCTTGCAGACTTTCCTAGCCTGGCTTCAAACCACAATCCTCAGATCTCAGTCTCCTAAGTAGCTAGAATTATAGGCATGAACCACTGGCGCCTGGCAGTTGCTTCTACTTCTTATAAACAATGATATGAAAATCCACAAATAAGTTTTTGTGAAGTTTTAATTTTATTTATTTTTTGTTGTTGGCAGTGGTGGTCCTGGGTCTTGAACTCAGGGCCTGCACACTGTCCCTGAGCTTGTTCACTCAAGGCTGGTGTTCTACCACTTGGAGCCACAGTTTCATTTCTGGTTTTCTGGTAGTTAATTGGGGATAAAAGTCTCATGGACTTTCCTGCCCTTGCTGGTTTCAAACCGTCATCCTCAGGTCTCAGCCTCCTTAGCAGCTAGGATTACAGGCATAAGCCACCAATACTTGGCCTGGCCACATTAGCTGAATTTTTGACTTTTAGGTATTAGTTGAAGCGAAGTAGTATCTCACTATGGTTTTGATTTGTGTTTTACTATCTTTTTAATGTGTTTTTAGGACATTTGTATATCTTCTCTGGAAAAAATGTCTATTCAACTTAAGGTTTTAAGTGAGCATTAATAGCTCTTCTAGAATACCTGGTCTGTGTTTGCTCAGTTCTTTTCTGTGTGATAGTGCCATGCACATAAAAGAACTTTAAGAACTGACATCATTTCCTCAAGGAAGTCCTGTTAGTGAATCATGCTTTGTACTTGGAAACTCTGTTATACATTTTCATTGATCTTGCAGTATTCTTTCATAGCACTTAAGCCAACTTTACCAAAGAACTGTACCATTTGGCTGAAATGCTATGAGGATAGGATATCTTGCTTACTTCTTCTGTATGTTAGCTCCTATGTTAGCTCCTATGTATGTTCCTCTCTAGTCAAAGACTCAAATGAATAAATACTTGGTATTCCATAATGGGAAGCACAATCGACTGCATTTATTTCTAACTATGTAATCCATTTATTTCTATTACTGAATGCTCTTAAATCATTCAATCTTCCTGAATCACAGTTAACTCATTATGATGATTCTAAATTTCTTTTTAGCTCTAAAAATCCTGGGTGCAAATTAAAAATAAGTCTTAGGGTATAAAACTCTATGTACTCTATAAAAATAAGTAAATAGAACTCATTTCCAGAAAGATTTATTAAAAGAAAAATAAGAGGAAAACACACAGATAAGTAAGCAAAACAAAACAAAGTCCTCAAGACAACCCGTTTCCCAATATCAAGAGTTCAAATTGATTTTTGATAAATATTTTGCTGAGAGATAATGGAATACAAACTTAAGAAAACAGAAGCTAATATATTCTAATATGATAAGGTCAAATCTTTAAATACCTTACTGAGACTGTGTTGATTGAGAAAAATCACTGGGCTAGAAATACTTCCCAAATAAGTATAAGAATGAAGGAGCTGTCTGACTGATTTCAGAGTATCAATTAGAAAATTTTTTTACCTTTAAATACTTAGATTTTTATTATTAGACTATAACACATGATAGACTCAGAATCACCCAGTGACTCACTTCAACAGATTTTCCACATGGGTGCCAAGTACTGAAAAGGTAGCCATTCAATTGGATATAGTTATCTAGCTGCCCCAAGTGATTCCTCCAAAGAAAAATAATACATATCATTACAAATGCTGTGATATAGTAAATTTGGAAAGCAGAACAAGAGTAAAGTAAAATGAAATATAAAGTGATTCCTGTTAGAGTGGCTATTTTTCTAGTCTTTTACAAATTCTACCTCTCCAGGAAGTCATCTGATTTTTTTCATTAGTGAAAGTATTAATAATCACTTCATAGTTAAAATCTGTGCTCATATTTACAGAGCTATGACTTTGTTGTCCAAACGCATGCACTCATGTGTATGTGTGTGTGTGTGCGCATGCACGTGTGCACGTGTGCCAGTCTTGGGACTTGGACTCAGGGACTGGACACTGTTTTTGAGCTTTTGTGCGTAAGGCTAGTGCTGTACCACTTGAGCCACAGCTCTACTTCTGGCTTTTTATTGGTTAATTAGAGACTAAGAGTTCAAACTCCTGGACTGGCCCGCACACGTGTGGACACACACACACACACACACACACACACACACACACACACACACACACACACACACACACACACACACACACACACACACACACCAAAAAGACCAAAACAAACCAACGTCTCCTCCCCGCCAAAAAGCACAAAGAAACAAAAAACAATTATAAAGGAAGTATTAAAATTTTATAAATTTTTAGTTTATGGCCTGGTGATTTGGCTCACTAGCCTTTAGTTCTACAAAACAAAATAGGTTAGCTTAATATATAATAAACTAAAAAGAAATGAAAATAAACATGAAGAAAGCAAAACAAGGAGGAATTAAATATAAAAACAAAATAAAAATATCAATAGACAAATTTACCACTGAAAGTAAATGTTGTTCTTTGGGCCATTCCAATAAACACAGACATGAATGAAAGGAAGGAGACAACTTAAACAAGGCGAACAATGTTAGAAACATGAAGGTATTGTACTTATAGATTTGTAGAAAAGTTTTTTTCAAAAGTAACTATGTCAAATGAATTTACTATGCAGTAGTTATTATAAATAGTTTGATTACAAACTGAGAAAGTAAATAATGTTTACTGCTGTTTCCAACTGATTTTACAAAGCCTGCCAGTCTTCTTATCATAATTAATTAGTGGATTCTTTTAAATTTTAGTACAGTACTAAGAACTTCAGCATAGGAATTAGTACAGCAGAACAATAAAGAATCTTTTTTTTCAGGTCCTGGGGCTTCAGCTCTTGGTCTGGGCATTGTCCCTGAGTTTGTTGTGCTCAAGGGTAGCACTCTACCATTTGAGCCACAGTGCTACATCTGGATTTTTCTGTGATTAATTAGAGATTAACAACAGCCTGTGGACTCTACCAGGGGTGGCTTTGAATTACAATCCTCAGATCTCAGCCTGCTGAGAGGCTAGGATTACAGGATTACAGGAATGAGCTACCAGTGCCCAGTTTAATAAACAACCTTATTGCAAAAAAAATTAATCTCCATAAATTTAGCCACTGAAGCTGGAATTGGTTGGTCAGTGAAGATTAGCTAACAGTATGAACTTTTCATCAATGGGGCAGAATACAATTGTGTTCAGAATACAATTTCCAAACATCTAGCAATTCTATATTTTGTCCTATCACATTGGGTTGATTAAATATCATCTCTAACTTGAGTTACAGAAGCTACTGAACAAACATGATCAGAAGTAGGGTTGGGGCGGGGGAGGTGGAGAGTGGCTCAAGTGAAAGAACACTTTCTTACCAAGTTTAAGGCCATGAGTTTAATTCTTAGTACTGACACACAGAGAAAATCTTGTAACAACTGATTTTAAAAAGTTACATATTGGCTACTTCTGCTTAAGAGGCAATAAAAAATTATTTTGGCCTTACTGCCATACAGGTGATTGATTGAATTCAAGTGCTTCAAGATTGAAAGCAAGTGCTTTCATTTGGTTTATCTGCTTATGCTGACACTCTATCACTTAATCACACCCCCAGTCCCTTTTTTTCCTGTTTAATTGGAGATAGAGACACAAGGACTTTTTTATTTTTGCCTGGGCTGGCTTCTAACCTTAATAAATTGGATTTCTGCTTCCTGAGGATTAAAATTTAGTAAATCCAAGAAATGGTACTATGTTGACTAAAGAAATAAGTGACCTGATTAATAAAAACAAGTGGATTAAAATATGAATAAAATATGATTTTCTAATAAAAATTGCATAAAACTGCCTTAGATGTACTTACACTATTATCAGAAATCAGTACCTATCTACTGTCAGTATAAGGTCCCAACTGCACCCAAGTTAGCAAAGTTATATGAAAACTGTTTCTATTATGTTTTTCTTGATATGAAATCATACTTTCAATTACAATCAAAAACGAAAATTTAGGTAACCAAATGTATAAATTTGTCAACATTTGGGCAACTATATTAGTGCAATTATTGATACTTATTTAAAAATAACTAGTTTTCAATACTCACTAACAATATAAATATTTATATTATATATATATATATAGATAGATAGATAGATACTAAAAATCATGTCAGAATTTCCAATGCCAATAAGCAATGTAACTTTATACAAAGTAAAAACTTTATAGTAACAGTAACTGGTCCAGTTAGTTTTACTTATGCCAGAGGAAAGACTATGTTTTTTAAATTATTAATAAGTGTTTTTATTGTGAAAATACCATACAGAGGGGTTACAATTACATGAGCAAGGTAATGAGTACATTTAGAGGTAAGACTATTAATCTCATTTTATAGTGGAGGACTTTAGGTGATTTGTTGAAGGTCATACTGATAGTGCTGGACTGCACAATACCACCATTGTTGTCCATATTAGATTGTAATTGGGCCATTTGTTTATTAAAAATCCTTACTCTCAAAAGAACGTTTGGTTGAATGAAAAAAGTCACTTTATCTCAGATTATCTGTTCACTTTTGTTTCACAGAAGTTAAAACAGATAAAGAACAGGTTTCTAGGTGGTGGGATAAGTTCAGGCATCAAACAACTAGATAGGATCTGAGCTCATTATTACGTGTCTCACCTAAGGGATTAGACCATGTTTAGGTATTAGCCAACTACAAATCACCACAATGAAGACATTTCAAAAGTATTTCTCACTTGACTTAATTTCCATACCTTCCAGATGTATTCTTTAGTATGGCAAGAGCATCTGGATAGCCATCCATGTTGTAGTCTCCAATATGAAGTGTAATTGGAATTGGTATCTCAGTTGGTTGTTTTTCTTGTACAAAGGGCACAAAGCCCCAGAGTGTGCCCTTATTGTTGAAATCTTGTAGCACTGGAACCCACTATGGATTGGGAGAAAACAGAGACTTCATGTGTATTTTAGAAAAACATCCAGCACTTGTGAAAGAAATGATTCATCTCGTTAAAGTTAATAAGATAAATACGGTTTTATTCTACTTCAAAATATAGAAGGGTATTGCAAGTTATTTTGATGAATGGGCATATTTTCTTGAAGCCGGGCACCGTGGCTCATGTTGGTAATCCTAGCTACTCAGGAACCTGAGGATCATGGTTCAAAGCCAACCTGGGCAGAAAAGTCCCTGAGACTCTTATCTCCAATAAACCACCAGAAAACTGGAAGTGGTGCTGTGGCTTAAGTGGTACAGTGCTAGTCTTGAGCTGACCAGCTGAGGAACAACACCCAGGCCCAGAGTTCAAGCCCCACAACCGACAAAAAAAAAAAAAAGGCATATTTTCTTGGAATGTATCCCTAGTCATCTTTGTTATAACTGGCACACAGAACAGAAAGGTTTTCATAAAAGCATAAACCCTTAGTAGGAATCAACTAATCTTAATATTCCTTTAGCTGAATCACCCAAGTTAATTTATGTCAAGTGGAAATATATCCTCAGATCAATATTTGAAAGAACTAGAGCAAACTCAATCTTTCTAATACCGATATCCTTTCAGGGAACTAATTTAGAAAGAAAGAACATGATGAGTTTCCCTTTTTCTCCTGTTGTGCTGACTGGTCACCAGCAGCAAGCCAAACAGCTCCTGTGGGTTTCCAAACACCAAGCCTGCCAAGCTCCAATCTCAACTGCCAGGCACTTATGAGACTTGACAAGTATGCTCTGATACCAGAATAGCTAGAAACTAAATTTTTAGTTAATTCCTTTATTTTTATATTGATTATAAGGAGAGAACAGACTGAATGAAAAAGGAATTCCGGAAATCACTTCTCTTTGGATTGCAAAGATTTTCATTCTAATAAATTCATATAAAACTGAACATCTGAAGAGTGGAAATCAAGCTACTAAAATTATATGTGTGTTCACAATTAGTAGGAGTTCAGATCTGGTATATAACTTGAAGATGTCTCAGTAGATGGGTGAACAGCTAACTTGAAATGACAGGGATGCCAGAAATGCCTAGGGATGTAATTTGTTTTACTAATAAGCACTAGGGTTATAAGTTAACTGTATTAATAGTTTCTTGAAAAGAGTTTACCAAATAGGGTATCTCTAACATTCTGTAAGTTTTCCTTTTTCATTGAAAAAGAAAAATGAAAACTTTAAAAAAAGTATAATTTTACTGTTATTATTTTATTTTATTTTATTATTTTTTGTCGGTCGTGGGGCTTGAACTCTGGGCCTGAGTGCTGTCCCTCAGCTCTTCAGCTCAAGGAGAGCGCTCTATCACTTGAGCTACAGCGCCACTTCCGGTTTTCTGGTGGTTTATTGGAGATAGGAGTCTCACGGTCTTGGTCTCTCCTGCCCGGGCTGGCTTTGAACCTCGATCCTCAGATCTCAGCCTCCTGAGTAGCTAGGAAAACAGGCGTGAGCCACCAGCGCCCGGCTATTGTTATTATTAAGGTGTTCTTCAGAGAGACTACCATTTCATTAATCAGGTAATGAGTATATTTCATTTTTGGACAATGTCACCCCTACTTTTGCTTTCCCCCAGTTTCCTCCTCCCATCCCTTCCACAAGTTACAGGATTCATTTTCCACCAAGTGCATACTTAACTATATGCATTTGTTTACCCTTCCTACCTCCCTTTGTATTCCTTTCTTTCCCACAAGGGGAAAAAAAAACCCTAAATGCAAAAACAAATACCACCTCTACCAACAGCAGCCACCACCACAACAAAAAAACCCATGTTTGCATATCCTGGAATTTGTTTTGATAAATAATATTTCAAATGTTCAAAGGGGTATGCCTATGGGTTTTTCCCCTAACACAGTCTGACTGTGTATGAATACCTAGAGTCCTATAGAAGTCATCATATATGTTTTATTAATGTTTATTAATAAGGGTAATTACATTAAAGCAAAAAAAAAAAAGGATTTTTTTCACTTAAAGTGACATCCATAATAGTCACCAAGGAACTGTGATATTTATCCTCCTGGAAGAGAAATGACCATAGACTCTGAAAATATTATAGTCTGCCACTTTAAGACAGGCTACAATCACCAAATTTACTTACATAGAAATCAGTATCAGAGAATTAAAAAAATAGTTTCAGTTAATAAATGTGGGTGAAATAGTTAAATGCTTTTAGAATTTGTACCGTATTAACATTTGTTTTCTTTACTGTTTGAGTATAAAATGTGATGTTTCCCATCCTTAAGAGCTATAAAAGTCAACACCTCAATCTACTATTTATTTCCCCTGAAAGTAAAGCTGATTAATTACACTACACCTATCAAAACCTATCATGCCCATGTTACTTCTTCATTGTGATTCAGATTTTAAATTGTTTCCCCATGAATGATAGGCTAAAAGTCTCTATGAGGAAGTAAAATACATATAGATACTACAAATAAAAGGAAGAACTAGCTCTGAAAACAGGCATGATATTTTTTCATACCTCTTTATTATTGTGCATTTTACCACATCTTAAACATAAAATGTTCATACCTTGCTTAATTACAGGATCCAGAATGGTTTCCTTGTACCAGAAATAACTACAGCAGAATTTTCTGCTTTCACAAATGAGTAAAAATAGATTTAAATGAATTCTATTAATTTAAAAAACAGGAAATCAATAACTTAATTTTGAATTTTCTCTTTTAATTCTTCAGGTGTATTTTTAACCTCTGAGGATTTTCCTCAAATATATAACCTGTTTGTGTTAAAAAGCAAGCAAACATACCTGTTTTGTTTTGGATCTCATTAAATATATGATGCTTTTTTGGCAGTTTATATCTTCACAGCCTGGCAGCAAGTGGTCCATGTGTCCATCTCCATCTGTCAAAAGAAACCTGAAGAATTCATTGATAGCCACAAAACAAGGTGTGGGTGTATAGCAGATTAAAGTTTTATTTGCTTAAAGACTCAATGAATCTGGATAAAGTAGAAATATATAGCTTTTGAAGATTTTAATTTTTTTTGTCAGTTCTGTTGCTTGTCATTCATGGGGCCCTGATCAGGGCCTGGGCACTGTCCTTGAGCTTCTGTGCTCAAGGTTCGTGTTCTACCACTTTGAGCCAAAGCTACACTAATGGTTTTTGGATGGTTACTTGGAGATAAGAGTCTCATGGACTTGTCTTTCCAGGCTAGCTTTGAACCATGATCCTAAAATCTCAGCCTCCTGAGTAGCTAGGATTACAGGCATGAGCCATCAGTCCCTGGTCTCACACATAGTTTTATAATGAATGTGACTCAACTAAAAAAGAAACCATTCTGGTCCTTGCGACTATCTGGATTGTGTCTTGCTTTAAATTGCTAACATTTCTGTGGATCTATATCAAATATTGGAGGGGGATATTATTCCAGGCTCCAGTGTTAAAATAATCAATGTGCATATTTTTGAAGATTGAATACCAGGTCTCAAATGGACAGAAAGAACTACAAATGGACAGTAAATATATAAAGAAATGCTCAACATTCATGGCCATAAAGGAAATGAAAATCAAAACAACATTGAGGTTCCATTATCAATCCACTTAGAATGGTCATCATCAAGAACACAAACAAACAAACAATGACAAATGCTGGCAAGAATGTGGGGAAAGGAACCATTACACACATATGATGGGAATGTAAGATATAGCATAGTACTAAAATTAGAATCCAAAACAGAACTATAGTGCAACAATACCGTTTACAATAATTGAGCTATGGAAACAGTCCATACGCCCTACAACTGATGAATGGACCAAAAATATGTGGTGTATACACACACAGACACACATAAAGAAGAATGAAATTACATCATTTTTAGGGAAATGGATGGGTCTGGAAATAATCATAGTAAGTGAAATAATAATCAAGGTTTGGAATGACAAAGATCATGTTTTCTTTCATAATTGAATACTGAACTTAAAAGACAAAATATAAACATATACAGGATCTCTATCTGTCTGTCTGTCTGTCTGTCTGTCTGTCTATGATCAACCTGATCAAAGTAAGGTATATACATGTGTTAGGAATCACACAAAGCAATGAACAGTTAATCTTTGCTTTAACAAAAATGATATTAGGAGGTAAAACATATCCTGTCTAGAGAGTGAGTGCTAGGGAGAGTAGGTGTGAAGGAAAGCACATATAATCAAAATACTCTATATACATGAAAGTGGAACAAGGAAGCTTTCTGAGAATGGTCTGGGAATGGAGGGAGGAGGGGAAGGTAGAATGATGGAGAAGATGACTGATCAAAATTCACTGTATATATATAAATTGACCTAAAAATATGAATCCCCTTGTAAAACTAATGGAGCCTAATCAACAAAAAGTAAGAATGGTGGCTTCTGTTCACATAATTATCACTGCTGATATAGGAGAAAAAAAGAAGTGTATTAATAGTAACACATTTGACATTCTAAGTGTTAGACAAATTTTATTCATATTTTTAAGAACTTTAAAAAGATATTTTATTTTCTACAAGTAATTGTACAAAGAAGTTGCCATTCAACTAAACAATTTATGATTAAAATGCATCTTGATCAATGTCACTCATTTTCAAGATTTTTTTTGGCGTGGTGGTGGTGGTGGTGGTGGTGGTGGTAGTAGTGGCGGTGTTAGAGCACTGTCCCTAAGCTTTTTTGATCAAAGCTAGCACTCTCCCATTTGCGCCACAGCTCCACTTCTGGCTTTTTTGGTGATTAGTTTTACAGCTTAGGCTGACTTTGAACCATGGTACTCAGATCTTAGCCTCTTGTGTAGCTAGGGATTACAGGCGTGAGCCACACTGGCCCAAAAACTTTTAATAAAGAGTTATAGAGATTTGAGTGCTCTATTTTTAAGAAGCGCCAAAAAATGCTTATCAATACTAAGGCAAAATGGGAATACACATAGCAAATGGCCACTTCCAGATGCAGAGCTGATTTACTATGCTGCTGGAGAGTGTGAACCATCACCGGGAACTGTGAGTACCGGCCAAAGACATCTCCACCAGGGAGAATAGCATCTGACCAGGAACTGCTTCCCCCACCAGAGAAGTGTGCCATTTTTGAAATGAGCAAAGAGGCCTCCAGAGCAACTGGCTAGGAACACTGAATGGAGAAGTGGCACCATATTGGAAAAGGGCAAAGAAATCTAATACCTTTCACCACCCCTCTCTGACTACAGACAAAAGAGCAGTGGTGGGTGCTCCCCTCCCCTGTAGCAGTGATTGACAAGGTCAGAAGGCATAAAAATTCTGTGGCCAGCAGAGCACTTTGGAATTACAAAACCTAAAGTCTCTTAAAACCTCACTGCAAAAAGTCAAGATAGGTGTTAGAAAACATAGTTTATTTCTAGGTCATACTGAGAGTGCCTTTGTATCAGTAAACTCTAAAGATTCCAGTTACACCACATCCCTGCTCACATTCACATACACTGAAGAATCTGAGCTGCCAATAGAGCCATTTCTTATCTGTAAACTAAGAAGCTCCAATCACTGGTACAGCCTAATCTAGGCTGTGAGGAATGCTGTAGACTCCATTTCTGAAGTTCAGAGTGTACTTCTGGAGATTAAAGGTTCTTCACATAAACTGATTAGTGAATTCATCTTATCATTGATTTGAAAATCTACAAACAGGTCTTAAAAACCTAGTTTATTTCCCAGTTGTACTGAGAGTGGAAATCTAGGTACCAGCCACACTTGGATATCACCAAGGCTTAAAAATTCAAGTACAATCCAGCCCCCCCTGCACTTAAGCATGCAAAATTCAAACTACAACCACCAGAGATGCCTCCTCCCTTTGTACTTAGGAGCTCCAAGGCTACAAGGACAGCTGTAGATCTCAGAGAGCTACTAAAGCAGAGACTACAGTATGATCATGTACACCACACTTTTGGACACACAAGATTCCCCCAAAAGAAGGAAAACTCATTTTTTGTGGTCTTTGATTTATAGTCTACAGGATTACTCAGCTTATTTCTTAGTTGTGTGTGCATATTTCCATTTTTGATAGTTCAATTTTATTATTTTTTCTTTGTTTCTCTTTTTTTTTTCTTTTGCCCCTTTTTGTTTGTTTGGTTGTTTGTTTTTGTTTCTGTTGTTTGTTGTTCCTGTTATCTTTTTAGTTTCATTTGGTTTGTCCCGACCCTTACTCACTGAATACAAATATTCTGCACCATAAAACCCTTCTTCAACCAAAAGCGAAGGTGTATTTAAATTTGCAATTGTTTTTGATTATACATTTTGTTCTGTTGTGGCTTTGGATCCTTTTGTTTCCTTTGCACTGGTTCATATTGATTCTTAAAATTGAATTACTTATCAATTACAAATATACCAAATCTGCTTTTTTCCCCACAATATCCTATTCTACCCCCAAATAAAGGTTCATTTAGATAGAGGAATACCTACAACTCATATAGGCTTTTTAAGAGTAGGCATTATTAGTCTTTAGGGAATCTGATGCATTGAATTCCAACTTTATTTTCTTCAGTGGTGCAGACTATAAGGTCTGTCTCCTCTTTTGCAACCATTTACTAGCTTTTTCTTCCTTCATCTAACTCCTCTCTGACATTAGACTTCTCTTACACATAGTTCTCACTGAAAAACTTGCCTGCTGAAAAACCTCAATTTCTTTCAACTGATAGAAGAGTGTCAAATAGTACAGTATCTCACCACAACTAACTGTAATCATACACTTAATGTTCTCAACAAAATCTGATCCTAGATAAGCAAATCCCAACAGAATATCAAACCATTAACTGGCTAATCAACTAGAAATGCAGAGAACAAGCTATTAGGAAGAAGATAGTCACCCCAAAATTAAAACCTAAAGTGCTTCCAAATGGGTAGAATTAAGCACAGAAATGCAAGATAAAAGGCAAGTCAAGGAAGTTCAATTTCAAGAGATGATAACCAAAAAATAGAGCAGTCAATCAAGGACATAGAAGACAGTTTTTGGGATGCTTTAAAAACACTTCTGATAAATATGATTAATGAGAAGACAGAAAGCCTACACAAGGCAATTCATGAATATGATGAGACTAATCCAAGATTAATAGAACTCATGGAGTCTACAAACAGAAGAAAATTAAATGAGATCTAAGAGATGGGAAGGGAATCTGATGAAAAATTAGTAGCCCAGCTAAAGGATATGAGATAGAAGATACAGATAAACAAGCGGAGGACGTAAATTAGTCCTTTAAAGACATAAAAGAAAAAAAAACTTTAAGAGATAGAAGCCATCAAAAATGAACAATTAAAAACAATTAGGAGGAAAAGAAACCTCAAAGTAGAAAGTCTTTACAGCAGGTGATAACACAGATGAAGAGTCTCAGGGATTAAAGACAGAATAGATATAATAAAGAGGAGAAAATTATCGGAACAAATCCAAGAAACAAGCAAGAAGTTTGCAAGAATTTCAGGTTTCAATTCTGACCTAATTTGAGACTGATCTATTATAGAAGGCAAAGAGCAAGCAACTGAATAGACAGGGCACATATTTAATAGAATTGTAGCAGAGAATTTCCAGAAAATCCAAAAAGCTAGCCCCATTAAGATACAAGTATCCTTTAGAACACCAAACAGACCAGACCAGAAAAGAAAATTCAACCACCACACTGTAATCCATACAGGATTAACAGAGACCAAGGAAAGGACCCTTAATGCTGTCAGAGAGAAAAGATTATTTATAAAGGTAAACCAGCCAGAACCTTAAAGGCAAACAACTACCCACCAAGAATACTACACTCAGGAAAGCTGTCCTTCATAATCATAGGACAAATAAAAGCATTCCATAATAAAAAAAAAAAAGGAGACAATTTATCTCCACCAAACTGTAAGGTCCACACAGAGACACCTCCCTACC